TATATATTAGTGCTGCGAACGTGTTAGAAGTGTATGTATATATTGACATCTAAGTGACAGAATACAGGCTGTATAGACATGTGTATATCCATGTACAAGTACCTATAAGTATCTTCACGTGTATAGACATGCATCTATATGCCTCTAAAAATGTATTTATAGTACGCATACTCAACTGGTCAAAATCATAGCCATAAAGATAAGCGTAGATAAATACTCTTATGGAATGCATTTTACCAACACGTTTATAGCTTACAATATGTAAAGTGCACATACCAATACATGCGACTACATGAATGCTGTGTGGAAGCATATTCAGGAGCGCGTATATAGTACTTTGACAAGATAAACATGTAGATGATTTTGTGTAGAAATGTACGTAAGGGACTAAACCTGTTGACAACCTCGATTATATACATAAATTACTTGAGATGCTACAGACGACATATGTTAAGATATTACATTTTGATAATACATGCTATTTTTGGCATGCTTTTTGACATGTACGAATTATACCTTGGTATCGTAAACTTCGAATAAGCCCACAACATTGATGTGATTTGTCAGTTTGAGTATGGCAACCTCCGCCAACATGCCCTCCCTCTCCACTGGGTCTAAGGGCCGTTTGTCGATCATCTTCACAGCCACGCGCTCGCCCGAGTTCTTGAACACTGCCTAATATGTGTTTACGTGCAATCCATGAGGTATGCAGTGCTATCGAATCTTTACAGTATCCCTAGTGTGTGATGTCGTTAATACATATGTATTAAGAATGCCTATTCAGTGCGTTCATATACGTGTGCTGATTGTTTTATCGTGCACGACGTAAATTTGATATAGCCTAATAGTATCATATTTAATTTTATAATTTTGCTACATGTAAAAAATGTAGAGAATTGTGGCTATGTTGGTAAACTAGCTGAGATACTACATAGCGACCATTCAAAAGTTCAAACTCAAGGTGTGATATTTGCACATGGAAATTGCACATGTGCTCCATAAGCATGATATATGTATAACACTTCCAAATCTTTGACATATACATTAAGAGAATGCACATAGGCGTTTAGGGTCAGACAAATCCTCTCATGTACATTCCCTATACCTTTCAGTACACTTGTGGATGATATATTCGATGCGGCAATACCAGAAATCTGTCTGAGCGCCCTGTTATTACGTTGTACGACAACGCTGGCGCAGTAATTGTACACATGGATGCACAGATGGATTTAAGTATTTGACAAACACTGATGACAACAAGCGAAAATATCTACACTGACATCGACAAATGAAAGTACAGACAAATAGACAATGTCAGGCGTACATATGGATACACTGACAATCAATGGCATACAAAACGTATAGACTGACTGCTAATGACAGGCGTATACTGGCAGTGATACAATCCACATGCCGCATAAACACACGCCATACACACGGCCATCAAACCCCATTTAGATAGGAATACTACTTTCGTAGGTATATCAGACAATTAGATAAATCAAATACCCAGAGCAAATGCGTGTGTTTGCAATCAACCATTTAAATACTCATAAGTACACACTGTAGTCGACCTCTCTACACATACTCTGTACACGTGCGAGAACCCTCCACTGCCCAGCTTATCGACATTGCCATCGGTGTTGAACAAGTACCAGTCTTTGATGTCCGATAAATCATTGTTTTTGTTGATCGTATCCACCCTGAGTCAATTATGAACACACGAACATCAGGAGCTGATAGATTATAAAAACTAAAGGGTCACAGAAGGCACCTCTAGAAGCATAAAAACGTATCCACATATTCCATAGGGTAGAGTCAAACTCTGCAGGTTAATCGAAAGGTCTAATCAAACATGAAGGAGATAGGCTTCTTTTGAAGGGTCTAAAGGGTCAGGCATAATACAAAAAGAAATAAACGTATCAGATTTCCAACGGAAAAACAAGCGGTGCGATATTCTCCACATGTTTAAAAATGCAGAGCGGCTAAGGCGATGAAAGTTATACACGCAATGTAAGCGTATGGGCGAGAAGAGCCATCTGCAAGTAGATGTCAATCTGAAGCAAATACTAAGTGCGTAGGACGTTGTAGTAGCGACAAGCATTTATGTCTACAGATTGATTAGTCAGTACACAATAAATTTTATTATATTCTAGTTGCAAACAGTACTTTCTACATCCAATGCGAAGGACAGGTAGATCAATGCACGGGACCCGATGAAGCGCAAAACAGGAACACTGCCGTGAATATTCACAAGCTGTTCAACTCGCATCAACTGTTAACCTACCAGATTTGAGCTTCGTTGATGATATCGGGGTCACAGTAAAGCACGTGTGTGTTGTGATTGGAAGTCACAGAAAACCCGTATCGCTTTCCCTTTGCTCCGTGGCTGCATGTTCATTCGGGAAGAAATTATGAATTAAAAATGTACACGATAGGATAAAATCGCGAATTTGGTCTCAATTCAAAGGTTTGCCAAAGTAGTGCAGTCTAGGCGGCGTGAAAGGCAAAATATTCTGTCTGTATATATGACTTCCGGCAACGTTTGACGGCAATGGAAGTCCAAGTCGATCCTCGCAGGGAGAGGGAATACATGAACTGTTGCTTGAAGTGAAGAGCGAGGTTAAAACTATTTTGCAGACATAATTTGAATGAGTATCGTAACATGTTCGTAGCCCTTCCCATATAATACCACCGCTTTCTTGACATGCACCAAAGATGGCACATTGATGACTTGCCCATATTACAATGACAAAGATATGAAGTACGGGGCTTTTTTCTATTTCAAAACAAATGGCCCTACTCGACGGGGACAATCAAGCAACAACTCCATGCCAGTGTGAGAATAAATCATTATGGATCATTAACATACTTTTCCCCTCCTACACTTTTTTAAGCTAAGTGCAAACATGACATGCAAAGGAAGCGACACTCATCATGGCGCCAGTACACGGATACTAAACAACGTAGACCTGAGGACGAATTCTGCAAAAAAATAATTAAAACATGTCCAACGTACTTGCTATAATATTTAAAGCCTTAATGTTTTTGCTTTTTACCATGCACGTCCATATCATCGTTACAAGCGTCACAGATACCCCAAGAATGAATGGAAATAAAGAAACCAACATTTAGCAGATGACTTGTGGAATTGGTCGCTACCTTTCCACACCTATTGTGTACAATATCTATTTCAGCGGCCTATTTAGTAGTGCAAAGAACATACCGTTGCGAGTCCTTGGAATCCTTCCACGCATCATACACTGCAATGTACGCCCCGGGGAGGTATATGGCGCCAGACGGCGTCCGATCATTCTTCTTCTCAAAGTAGTATAGAAACTGACGCGTGACCTTGTACCACCGCTTCTTATACGGCTTCACTGGGTGCGTAGTTGCCTGGTATGCGAGGTTTCACAATCAGTCATTCCAAATGTATATTACCGAAAAATATTGTAACCGCAAGGCGGTCGATTCTACTCAGATCCGTAGGAAAAAGTATATCCTCGTTTTTAAAATTGTGCTGAATGACTGTTCAATTTTACTACGTGGATTCGAATCTGGTTTGGACACAAAGATACTGAAGATGCTAAAAGATTTCAAATACACAGTTTTTTGGACGAATACGTTTGATTGTAAGTTGTGTGTACTGTTGCCAGCATGCAATGTCGAACATAGGCTGATGTGCGTATCTTAGCCGTGGAGCATTGCTTTTCTCATACGAATTGCACGCGTGTTCTGGTCCGCTACGGATAGGGGTATTTTCCCACAAAACTCTATTTCTATTTCTCGAAATAAAAGAATTCTAGATTAAACACCCACGGAATTTTGTGTATCCGGAAATACGTATAAAAAAATGAATTATAGGCAAACCCGTGCCGACACAGAACGACATCAAAATATAACACATACTTTGTATAGGTATCCTGCCTTCACCTCTCTATCCACAGGCATTTTCCTTCCCAAAAATCTGTGCTTGGAGAAGCATTCGGCACTAAAAATGGAATCCAGAACAGATTCGTTGTTGGCAAGCCAATTCTTGAACTCTTTGTGATTTAGTTTGCCAGTCCTGGACACGTCACATTTCGCGAACGCCTGTGGTTGATACACGGAACGAGAGTCGTGAATCTAAAGTCTTCGTACAAGTGTGTGACAGCTTTAGCTATGGCATTTACCACCCATCAAATTGTAAGATTAACAAGACGCCACATAAAATACACCTTGCTGCGTTGAACACATTCAATCGATAGGCATTGTGTATATAAACGCCGTACTGGGTAGACCATGTGTAGTAGAGTCTAGAATTGCTAATGTGCCACACGTGACAATGGACCACACGGCTCGCATCAAACGACGATGAGATACGGAGCTATATGTGGAACAAAGCCTATGAGTTTCATATGGATGGAGGACGTGTGACCATGCGTTTGGTGCGGCGCTGGTGTCGCATCATGATATGATTCTTGCTCACTGAATGACGGCGACCAAATCATTCAATGGTCGTAAAATGAAGAGATCAGCTGGTAAGTATAAATTTATGCACGTACTGGATGCGACATCTACATAATAAACCCTGTACTAGTGTTTATATACTACGTATTTGTCTCGCAAGCGGCTATATAAGTGGATATGTGTTCAAAACTGCATTCTTTCTCTGCATTCTTTCTTTGAGCTACTAAGATGAAGTATTTGCTATACTCTTACATATGTACATGTGTTCGATTCGCTAGCAAACCAACCTGATCAACCATCTCCTTGACCAGCTCACCAACTGTGGTGAGATTCTCTAGGCCCTTCTGCGATGCGCTGATGGTCACATTTCCTCCACTCCCTTTCACGCGCATGTTAGCTCTCCGTGTCATCAGAGGCGAGGATATATCCGACCTTTGAGTTGCACACAGATTTAGACGCCAGATGGATGATATATGTATGTGAGATGAATTCCATCGAAATTAATGACTGTGTGTAAACAAAATTGGTCACATATTCTTAGCTCTTATGACGATCCGATAAGGGGTACGAGACATTGCACTAACGATTGCTTCAGCGAGAACTTCCATCCACGCTACATCTGGTACGCGCAGAAATATAGACCTATGTACGGCTTGAGCAAACCAATCCATGCAGGTGTACACCAGTATATTCATTGATGACACCCCTAATTTGTACACAATCATGCACAAATCGTATGCACAAATGAATATAAGTGATACGTACAGACCCGAATAGCGACAGTCACAAGCGCAATACAGAGGTGGAAGCTAACTGAGAATCATCCTAAGAGATACACGTACAAGCAACATAGTACAATGATTTTACACAAGTACATAATGCACTTACGCGCGTGTGTGTGACTACACGCTTGGATTTGTAGATGATACTTACCTCTGTACCTCGGTTAGATTCTTCACGGAAACGACTGAGCCCTTTTCGGATCCAACGGTGCCATTCCCTACCTGCATTGGCACGGCTATGTGTTCGTAGATGAAAGTTCTAGTTATTGGCTTATACCTCACGCAGTTCATGTGTACACAACACGCACAACGGAATGCAAACTCAAGTGGCTAGCTAAGTATTATACAGATAGCTGAACGTACACGTAAGGTCTCATATGTACAGCTGCTTGGAAATAATCGCATTCCACGTAAGTGTATACTCATATATCTCGGGGGGTATAAGTGGATGTAGGTGCGCGTGCTAAATGCAAACATACGCGTACATTCGCAAACCCAATAAACATTTACTCACAATCACTCACAAATACACTTAAGTACAACCACAAATACAAAAAATAATCACTCACAAATACATATACGTGCAATCACGAATACATAAATATAATCACTCACAATTAAAAACACATACACTCACAAATACATACATATAATCACTCACAAATACACGAACATGCAATCACAAATACATAAATATAATCACTCACAAATAAAAACACATACACTCACAAATACATACATATAATCACTCACAAATACACGTACTTGCAATCACAAATACATCAATATAATCACTCACAAATAAGAACACATACACTCACAAATACAAATAATCACTCACAAATACACATACGTGCTATCACAAATACAAAAATATAATCACTCACAAATACGAACACATACACTTACAGATACATACATATAATCACTCACAAATACACGTAAATGCAAGCAGAAATACATAAAGATCCACTCGAATTCGGGTGCTACGTAGCATTAATTTTCGTGACCAACATCAAACGTGCACTTACATGAGGGCATGCTGATTTCGTGACTGATACTGCGGTGTTTCAAACTCAAATCCGTCGCAAACTCTGAATTGTCCACCGCAAATTCAGCTGATCCTGACGACGCTATGCTACCAGATACCGTCAAGCTATTCTTCTTCGCTCCGGGTTTCGCTTTCGGAGATATTCCATTGCTCGGTGCACTCGAGGATACTGACGAAACAGTACGTCCTGTTTGTTAGTATCATGTCGGTTTTCCATGGAAATGTGTGTGTATATAAATATGAGCATTTTAGTGATATCGTACATGACACGTGAGAATATGTGTTCATGTTCCAAGACTGGGAAGCACAATTGGTACTTCTAGATGAACGTGCATCTTGTGTGCGGGAGTATTTCGATATGTATGTGCCTGGATGTGCCCTTGCCTATGTTTTCGGACGTAAGTTTGCCAAAAAAAAATTGCATCGACCTCTATGAGTGTGATATATGTGTTCAGATTGAATCTGATTTGTAAATACATACGTATACGTTAAAATATTCAATATAGTAAATGCCTGACAAACGACGCATACATATGCATATATATATTAATATATAAATATAGATATAGTGTATATATATATATATAAAATATATATATTTATATATAAATATAGATATAGTATATATATATATATAAATATAGATATAGATATAGATATAGATATAGATATAGATATATGTATATATATATATATATATATATATATATATACATATATATATATATATATATATGTGTGTGTGTGTGTGTGTGTGTGTGCGTATATATATATATGTATATAGTATTTATACATACATGAAAATCTTCAAACTTGTATAATTTTATGTTAATATCAAAAGTAGAAATGAAGCGTTTGTGTTTCTTTTCAACCAAAAAAAGAAAAAAATCTGTATACATATATATGTACATAACACTGTCTAGTGATCTGTATGTGTTGATTGTTTACGGATACAATCATAGAACAAGAGGCTAATCAAATGGCACATAGGCACATTACACTCTTAGTCGCGACACCGCATATAACACCTGGCATTTCAATCGTAAATCTTAGTATCTTAGCAAAATAACAAACAGCCACATACCGTGAAATACGAGACCCTCGCTTAGACTAGAAATCATACTCAGTAGAATACAATACCAAATAAAAACAAACAAAAGAACACGGCTTGTCACTCGGTTTATATACACGAACTCCTGCTTGCAGGTCGACACGTATATGCGTGCTATATATGTGTACAACATACCAGTAATGTCCACAGGCACTGACGGCCCGTGAGTCGTCGAATCGCGCTGCGAGATTCCAGGACTAACCGCTTGGTTCATCTTGTGCTCAAAACTTTTCGATGATTCCATATCTGTGGTGGTGGCCAAAATATCGACCATTGGAGCTCTGGTCGGCGATGAAGTCGAACCTACGAAGATATAGGGCCATAGAGTGGTCGGTTGAGGTACGAGCATATCACCATGCAGATGCAAGCGACATAAAGAACACCTGTTCGTGAGAAACATGTATATACACTTATAATCCATTGATGTACAGAGACGACTATGGACATCGTAATTTTACTGTCAAAGTCAGCTTATCGACAAACAACCAACAAAAGCTTTATAGTTGCATGGGTATGTCCGTTGGAATCGGATTGGCGAAGTAGTGTTGATGGATGATATGCAAGAAGCGCTGCGTTTGAAAAGACAAAATTCAATTTATTTTCCACTGAAGTATGTGATACTGTTGTGTCTGAAGCGAAAAGAAGAAAAATGCGAGTAATTTGCGAATAGATTCTATGCACTGTTCGACGAACAACAGCTCCTGAATGTTATGTGCGCTCAGTAACAAACTCGCGTAACTACAGCTGTAGCTGTAAAAGAATACTGCAAATAAATGAACGTAACAGTGCCAGTGTGTGATAAAACCAAATTGCCATGAACAAAACCATGACATTTGTGAGTATCACACATGCAACACATCACAGCCGCATTCGGTACACTTCGTCTTTGTCGATGTGAATGTTTCTTACATTCAACAGAGATATTCGACTGCTGTCGTCGCAGCGGTTTTCCAAAGAGCGGAGAGCCAACGGTAATATTTGACATCTGCCGGCTGACCATCGGACCTGCACCACAGCCATTTAAACAAAAATGAATTCTAATCTGATATTGTGAATACCTACACGTGGTTTAAAAACTCGCCTGTGGTCTCACATAAATATACAAAGCTATTATTCTGCCGTTGAATGTCGAAATTTGTGATTTGGAATCATAATGTGAATACGTGTGGCGTTTGTGCTGGCGACGCATTGCTTGTGTGGAGATAAACTCAGAACCATCTGGAGTGGTATTTTCTGAATACACTTCCAGCACATTGGACTGTCTACCAAAAGGGTTTTAGGGTTTTACATTGCAGCGACATATTTAATACAGTAAAGCATCATCGCATGCAAGCCTGATCGCATACGCATAGTATCATGGTAAGAGTGAAGAAAGGGTATAGACGCTAACCAAAAGATGTGCGGGCGCAGACTTGTATCCGTCCAAACATACACTAATTAGTCGAGAATCCAAATGTACGAGTTTAAGACGAAATATCAACTTGCAAATACTCACACATGCGACATGCATACGCGAGTACAAACTTACGTACCCATAGACTTCTGCTTTGAGATGAAAGAGTTCGTGACATCCTTTCCCGAATTATCAGCCACACTACCGTTGATACTAGCATCAACGCTATTGCTTGGACTGCCGTCGATGGCTGCAACCACCTCTGCAGCCGAGTGCATGACTGAGTTGAGCATGGTGTTCAGTTCCTCTCTGCTGACGCCTTCGTCGGCATCCAGGTTGAACATTGTGTAGATGAAATCAGCCTTCTCCTCGGGAGTCCCAGCCAGCACCACAGCAACACCCTGCGATAATTTAGAATGAAAATTTTACATATTAGTAACAGCTATGGGAGCATATTGCAGGCAATACGTATATGACTGCGTTGTAATGTTGTTGCGGGTGGCAATGCATATGACAATGGTATAAACCCGCCACCGATGAGGTAATATGGAACGGAGAAGTCTACGTCTTTCAGAATACATGGCATACGATGGCAACAATAGCACATTGAAAGGTGAAATAGCATGAGAGCCATTCGAATAGTACCCGACAGCCCGATAACTAAGCTGATTTCCAAGATCGAGTGTGGTGAAAGAGAGCTTAACAAATGCGCTGTGGAATCGACATCTAGTGACAATTCGTACACATGCAACATCTTGTTAATAGGACAATGCAAGAAGCAACATAGAGTGTAGGCCCAAACAAAATATTTCTCTAGCGTACCGCACACATCCAAGTAAACTTTATAAAGCGTGGAAGTTGTCGAATCTTTTAGATGGTACCTAGCTAACTCTATCCCTAATTGTTGTCAACATCATAACGCTGCACATAAATTGGCATAGATTAAAAAGACATGATATTTTCAGTTAACTTCCAAGTAGGAGGATGAACACAATTTTGCAAGATATTAAGGAAAGAAGATAGACCAAATCCAAATACTTGAATGAGTAAAAAATGACGTGATGACGAATCACATTCAATCGTCGATACGGAACACACTCGCCTTACCAGGTCTGATCCGACATATACGAGGTTTCAGGTAGAGATCAGCTGGTCACGCGAGTGTCTAACAGCACATTGACTACCTTATGACACACTCGCCAATTATTTGTATTTGATTTTCAATCTGGTGTTTGCGTAAAGAAATGTAAAGCAAGTGAGGAAGGCAAACACAAAATGAGATGATAAGCTTTCGAGGCCAAGATGCTTACCGTTAGAAATTCGTCAATGTCTATCACTCCATTTTTCTTGCTGTCGAAGGCCACGAAGAGACGCTCAGCCAGCATGCCATGCAGAGGAAAGTAAGCCAGACTGTAGTGGAGCAAAAGCAACGAATGATATGAAGATGCCAAAGTCGATTATTTGAATTTTAGAACCAAGAGCTAGCCATGCACAGAGTCGAGTACAACGATCTTCGTATACTTCAGATTATATACATATTGCTGAACACGATCAGTCATTGCACTGGATTTACCGAGCCACAATTTAAAGAAATTCATAGACAATCGTACAAGAATAAAAAAATTGTATAATTCTGTACAGCTCACATTTATATATATATATATATATATATATATATATATATATATATGTGTGTGTGTGTGTGTGT